CTGGCGGCGCCGTCGTGGGCGTGGTTCCAGCAACAACGCCGCCTGGATCCCCCGCCTCCTGCCCGCCGCCGCCGCCGCTTTGGTCCTCGCCCGCATGCCGCTGTCGCCACCGATGTGGTCCTCACCCACATGCCGTTGTCGCCGCCGCTCTGGTCCTTGCCCTCATGCCACCGTCGCCACCGCTGTGGCCCTCGCCCGCATGCCGCCGTCACTACCGCTGTGGCCCTCGCCCGCATGCCACCGTCGCCGTCGCCACTCCGACCAAGAGAGGGGGAGAGAAAGAGAGAGGGGAGAGAGGGAGGAGGAAGGAGGGAAGGAGAGAGGATGACATGTGGACCCCACATGTCAGTTGGTCCCACAGTATTTTTTGTGTGAATGACAGATGGGTCCCACTGATTTTTTTTAATTCTAATGCCACGTCGGCGCCACGTGGGACGAAGACTGGGTCAACACTGCCACGTCAGCGCCACGTCAGCAAAACCGCTCTCCAAAACCGCTGAGGGAGTCAAATTGCACTGGTTTCATTAGTTCAGGGAGTCGTCCTATCCGGTTTTCTGGTTAAGGGGTACGAATTAGATTCGGTGTACAATTAAGGGAGTCAAATTGGACTTTTTCCTTCCTTTCATCGCCGCCGCGCCGATGCTCAGCCGCCTCCCGGACATGGAGGAGAGCATCGCATTCTCCACCGCCACCCCCGCCGCCGATGGAGAGAGAACATCTTCTTCACCGTCCGCCTCCTCCCGCCCGCGTCGGCCGCCGCGGCCCGGTGCTCCTCATCCGATTGCGGCGAGTGCCCCCGCCCCCCATACGATTCGAGGTTCTCAATACAATCTTGATGAGGCTTTAATTTATAAACCCCGTTGATTCCTTGCAATAACAAGGGGGGTTTTGGAGTCAAATCCTTGCGAATTTCTTCATGTGAAAGAATCTCACATCCATGATCCGCTCGAATATAGAACTGAAATTAGCGACCAATATATATTATATAAATCTATCCGTGGATCGCATTGCTCCTCAGTATATATTAATTAATTAAATGCGTTCATCTGCGACCTTTCCCAGGAGCTTGAGCTACCGAGCTTAGAACAAGGCGAGGCCGATCGATGGCGAGCTCCGTCCTGATCGCCGGCGGCGCGCGGTATGCGGTGCTAATAGGTATGTGGATTCATTTCTAGCGCCATCCTTGCTTTTCTCTGAACATGTATCATGTATGATGTATCTGACTGTCAGAGCTATGGAATTGTGCCGGAAGGGGTGTTAGAATCTCTCTGTCTTGTACATTTGTTTCATTGCGTTAATCGAGATTAGACAAAAATCTCATTTCCTTTACAAGATGGAGTACTTATTTACATCGACTAAATAAAAGTTGTTTGTTTTTGTCTGGAAACTAAGGTTCAGAACCTATAGGAAAGTACTCTCAGTTTTGCATAAAACGATCAAATTCCATGGTAAATTGAACTATTATAATGGTTGAACCTTATTGTGGGCTGTGTTAAATTATTGTTTGCGGAGCAGGTTTTCAAGATTTTAGTCGGGTCATTGGCACAAACTGAAATTTCAGGAAAATATGTGTGCTGCTACTGCTAGAGATATCGTAGGCATGGATAATGGCATCAGAAATTTCACCGAAGATGAGATTGAAACAATTACTAGGGGCTATACCACTCTCATCGGAAAAGGTGGCTTCGGAGAAGTCTACAGAGGGGTTCTTCACTATGACGATCTAGTTGCAGTGAAGAGATATATCCGGGGAGATCTGATACAAGAGTTTATGGAAGAAGTAAGAATCCATAGTCAAATCAACCACAAGAACATAGTGAAGCTCATCGGCTATTGCAGAGGGGAAAATAGTCTATTGATGGTAACAGAGTATATATCTAACGGAAACCTCGAAGACATAATACTTCACAACCGAAAAGTTGCTATGCGATTGGATACAAGATTGGGTATTGCTATAGGGTGTGCACAGGCACTGTGCCACATGCATTCGATGCATCTATCGACTGGCAGCTTGGTATGTCATGGGGATATTAAGCCTGCCAACATACTTTTAGATGACAATCTTACCGCTTGGATTGTCAAGGCTTCTTTCTGGTGGGATCACTCGACACACTCTGAATGTAAAAGGAAGTATTGATTACATGGATCCTATATATCTTCAAAAAGGGTGCCTTACTCCGAGGAATGATGTGTACAGTTTTGGAATTGTTCTCTTGGAATTAATCACTAGAAAAAAGGTAAAAGGGGGCAATATCAACCTCGTTGATAGTTTTGGTGAAGACTTAACACTGATAACTCACTTTAACGGAATAGGGTCAGATAGCAAGTTCGTTTTCGAAAAGCAGGGTCAAATAAGCAAACTAGAAAAAGTAGGGTCAAATTGGTAGTTAGGTTTTAAAATAGGGTCAAATAAGCAAATGCCCCATTGGGATATGATTGATTGATAATAAAGATAGCATTAAGTTGCCCATGCCTCTAAATTTTAATTCATCCACCCGAATCAAACACCTGACTAAAATAGGAGTACTAAACAAGGAAGAGGACAGCTTTTGTTTCAAATTTCCACTGTCTGATAGAGAATGAGAATGAGAGATCCAGGAAGAACTACCGTGTGGTGGTGCTGGGAGGCTTCTCGCACCTCACCATGGTCGCACCTCGTGCAGCCATACACCCCACAGGAAGTAGCAGATGCCGGATGAGCACCAGCCACTGGGGCAACTTAGCAAGAGCCTTAGGGCAGTGGCAGTGCAAGCTATGCATTGCGTGTCTCTAGCTGGTCTGTGCAATGCAATCAAACCAAAAGCATCCGTATGCCATGCACTTCACAGTGCATGTGACCTCCTCTGCATAGTCTGACGAACGATGTGATGGAAACATGATGCCAGGGCAGGACCTCTACAATACGGATGGCCAAGTTATTTCTGCCTAGCGCATCCTCGTTTCTTCGCCGTGCGTCCTTGAGCGCGAGCGAGGAACTCGTCCCCCATCGAAGGCCCGAGCGGCTCAGTTGGGACGCGCATGGTGCCGACGTGTCAACGAATCTTCCCGCTAGCGCAATGAAGCAACGCTCCACGTAGGAGCACTGTGAAGAGCCTTAGCACCTCCGTGGAGAGCAGGTTAAGGGAGGTGCAGAGCAGGGAGGCAAGGGCAAAGAGTGGAGAGGTGGTCGGGCCTGGACAAGGAAGCCGGTGGCAGGGGACAGGTGTACACACGCCGACCACAGAGGGTACTTAGCAGAGTCTTGTACATGGAGTACAAACAGAAGCAATCAGCATAAATGTGCATGTGCAAATATTTACATATGGAGCCTAGTCGTCGCAGAAGTTAGGAACAATATCTATCGGTCTTCCGGATTCACAAAGGCTTGCTCGCTCGTATGCATCATCCTTGAGCAGCAAGGAGTAGTTAGAAATGGTTGAAGTGAACTGAGTTCAAATTTCTGTAGGAACGAAATTTAGATTGGGTTGTTTGAGGAGCTAAGTTCCTAATTTAAATGGCTGCATATTCGGTTAGATGTAAAGGACGGGTGAAAAATACCCTTCTCTAAAAAGAACAGATAGAAATGGTGCTATAGAGTTAAAACTTGTATCGGTCACACTGAAAATCAACCCAACATTCGTGAAAGCGTGAATGAGATGTACAATAAAATAAAATTCTTATGGCACTACTATATACATATTGATTTTGACATGCCATTTAATTTATCGCTGACCTGGGCTCACAAACTTTGGACGACTCAAATTTTTGAAATTTAGGGTTTCTTTTTTTATATAATGTGGTATTTATTCGGGTCTTTACTCTATAGCCAGCTATTATAGAGTTTGTACGATGAATAACCGTGGATTACAAAACTATATGGCTTGACTGAAAAAAGAGAACTGAGCAATTACTAACCTAAAGACTTATATGCCTCCATCTATGATTGGTTATAATATGGATAACCGTTATTTCTTTCAATGGCTTACAAGTTGTACATGCTTCTTGTCTTTCTCAAACCAGAAAAACACTATATCTGAAACCAGCTCTGATCCTTTGTCGATCGAATTTCACTCCTATCACTGTCGGTGAACTGATGTCGAACCAAATCAAAAGAAAACATTGGAAGTTAGTTGAGTTGTAGATTGGTCATTCGATCGCCTAGATCTTACCACCATCATTATCATCAACACCACCACAAGGACTTCACACTAATAGGTAACATCCAATACAACACTTTATTGTCAATAAGGGTGTATTTGGTTGCCTGCATGGTCCCTGGCTCGCATGCGTGAATGCACTGGGTGGACGTTTGGTTGCTTGCTTGTAGCTCCCAGCCTGACCGAGTGGATGAAAAAAGCCACGCGAGCCAGTCTGAGCAGGAACACTCGATTTGAGCTTCGCTGCTTGACTAGGCCCGCGTATGCAATGACAGGCGATGGGGTCACCACCCTGCCCCTCTCTCCCTCCTCATTCTTGAATGTCACCATTGTAGGATTTAGGGCTCCTTCGGAATACAAATACTCCTAGGATTTTGGAAACGCTGGAATATGAAAACACATGAATGTCACACTTGTCCCCATCCCCCGGCCTCTCCCTGCACACCACGGGGTGCTATCGGGTGGCCCCGTGCGATGCGTGTTGACTGGGACGTGTGACCGCTCGGAGAAAGGTAATTTTCTAAAAAGGCATTCCTAAAGGACATGCGGTGTCTAGATTTGTAAAATTTTTAAACCAAATTTTTTTTTGAAATATTTTAATAAAAAATGTAAAAAAAATTTATCGTTCCCGTGGTGCACAACCAGGCCTACGAGGTCCATACCACTGGTAGGTGGTAGGCCTAAAGCCCGCACTCCCTCATAAACTATTGGGCTGGATCACATCCAATTATACATGGGCCGATTTTGATCTATGGGCCTACATGGGCCGCTCCCCCTGTCCAACAACAAGGCCCAAGTCCCAGGGTCCAGGAACCCACATCCTCTTTACCTTTCCAAAAAAAAAAAAAAAACCAAAACATTTTATATTTTTCCCGTGTCTTTGCCTCGTCTTCCTCCCCGCTCCATCCCTCCCCGAAATTTCAAATCCTCCGCCGCCGCCGCCCACCTCGCCGCCGTCCTCCTCCTCCTCCTCCGCCGACGATGGAGAAGATCTCCGTCGCAGTCCGCTTCCGCCCGCCGACAACCGCCGCCCCAGCGGCGGACCAGTCCCCCTCCTCCACCGGCGGCGACCGCGAGTGGCGCGTCGACGACGACACCCGCATCACCCTCCTCCACCGCAGCGCCCCCGTCCCCGGCGCCTCCTTCGCCTTCGGTATGCTCCCCCCTCCCTCCCCCTCCCTCCCTCCTCGTTGCCCTCGGCCTCGCGCGTTCTCACGCCTTCGATGCAGACCACGTGTTCGACGGGGCGGCCACGAACGAGCGGATCTACGGCGTGCTGGTGCGCTCCCTCATCCGCGCCGCGGTCGACGGGTTCAACGGCACCGCCTTCGCCTACGGCCAGACCAGCAGTGGGAAGACGTTCACCATGAACGGCTCCGCCGACCACCCAGGCATCATCCCGCTCGCCGTCCGCGACGTCTTCGACACCGCGCGCGAGGTAAATTAATTCGGTTAAACTCTCGCCGCTCTCTCCGATGTCGCGGCCACGCTGAAGCTTTCGTCGTCGGTTCGATTCGATGCTGACCTCTCTCGGCGCAGGTCTCGGACCGCGAGTTCCTCATCAGGGTCTCCTACATGGAGATTTACAACGAGGAAATCAATGACCTCTTGACGCTCGGGAGCGAGAAGCTGCCGATTCATGAGAGCTTAGAGGTAGAAATGGCTTCTCTTTGATGAAAATGCTTGGTGGGTTTTCGTCTAATTGCGATATAGATTTATACAATTCTGTTATTTTTTTCCATAGCGTGGTGTCTATGTGTCTGGGCTACGGGAGGAAATTGTGAACAGTGCCGAGCAAGTGTTTAAGCTCTTGGAGCTTGGAGAAGGTACTATTTCCGACAGGTTAACATTATACCTGTTCAAGCTACCTGTTTTCACGAGTTTAGAAGCTTTTTTTATTCTTGAAACATGGTCTGGCTTTTCTTATAGCAAATAGGCATTTTGGGGAGACAAATATGAATGTGCGGAGCAGCAGATCACATACTATTTTCAGAATGGTATGGAATACTCAATATTTTAGTTATTCCACCAATTTCAAGTCCATAGATAGTTGGAGTAAAGTTGAGATACCAGATGATGCCAATTTTGTGATTTCGTATCATTGTATTGGTTGCAGGTCATTGAAAGCAGCGCAAAGAACCACATGGATTCTGGAGATGCTATCCGTGTATCTGTCTTGGTATGTACTGCTCTCTCAATACATGTATTAAGTAAAAACAAATGTATTGAGAATTGTATGACTAATCAATGTTGCCTTACTTATAGAATTTGGTGGATTTAGCTGGTTCAGAAAGAATTGCCAAGACCGGAGCTGGAGGTGTGCGTCTCAAGGAGGGAAAGCATATTAACAAAAGCTTGATGATTCTTGGGAATGTCATCAATAAGTTGAGTGAGAATGGAAAGCAAAGGTACACATATCGAGTATGGCATGGACTTCTTTCTCATTTGGTTCCCCCCATAGTCATATAGCAATTATGAGTGATGACATCTGCAAGTTGTGTGTAGCTCTGATTTATTATACAATAGCTATCCAAACAGTAATAAACTGCTATGGAAGTTATAATTTTATTGCAAGGAGGAAAGCACAGATTTGGTTGCAAATCAAACATAGGCCTTGTAATAGTCAGTCTAATAACCAAAGAATGTTGTAATCAGAAATTATTGCGAATTTTTTGAACATTCGGAGTTTTGAAGAAAAGATAAACTTTAACCAATTCTGCCTTCATTTTACTAATCCAAAGAAAAATTCGCCAATGAGTAGTTTCTATCTGAATCGAAGAAAAATTCTACGAATATTGAAACTTTGTAAGATCTTGTGTAGTTTTAGTTGCTTAGGTATTTTTTTTTAGATAAAGAGGTGGTTAGTTATTTTGATGCAGAGGGCACATCCCCTATCGTGATAGTAAGTTGACGCGCATTTTACAACCTGCACTTGGAGGCAATGCAAAAACATCAATCATTTGCACTGCTGCTCCTGAGGAGGTATGCTCTAGGTACTTACAAATTAAATCATGTACTAATAAATCTCTTGTACTTACTTTTCTTTGTTATTGCATCTCCCAACAAAAATGAACCTACAGATTCATGTTGAGGAAACCAGAGGAACTCTTCAATTTGCAAGTAGAGCAAAATGTGTCAGCAACTGTGCTCAAGTGAATGAGGTAAGTGTTAAGGCATTGCTTGGAATATGGAATTTTGTTCACCTGCATGAATCAAACTATTACCTATGAATTCATGTTATTTTTTATTCAGTTATACCCCATTAGGCCCTAAAACATCAAAATTAAGGGCCCCTTTGAATCAAAGGATTTATATAGGAATTTCATAGGATTCAAATCCTATAGAAAATTTTCCTATTTGGCCCTTTGATTCAAAGGATTGAAGCTTTCTAAATCCTATGAAATTCCTATGGAATGGCACATTGCATGTGGATTTTGGAGGAAATTTAGCAAGAGCTCCAACCTCTTGGAAAATTTCCTTTGAGTCTATCTCTCTCATCTGATTCCTGCGTTTTTCCTGCGCTCCAATCAAATGATCATTCCTGTGTTTTTCCTGTGTTTTACAATCCTCTGTTTTACACTTCAATTCCTGTCAGAATCCTGTGTTTTTCCTATTCCTCCGTTTTTTCTACCCTGCGATTCAAAGGGGCCCTAAGTATATTGTTCTGAACTAATTCCTGTAGCACTATTAACCTACCGCTTATTAAGTCTCACTATTTATAAGATGTCTTGTGTTTGTTTCTTTACGTCTCTTAAGGATGAGGTATAACTTGTATAATATATTTAATAACAGTCATTGCTCTTTCAGTATTCATCCAAATATTGCCCTCTGTCTATCTTACTACATTAAATGACTATTTTTTTTAAGTTCAAATTTATTAGCATGTCAAGCGTTGAGTACCTAATAATAGTCACTGGCATGCCAGATTTTAACAGATGCAGCTCTGCTGAAGAGGCAAAAGCAGGAAATAGAAGAACTTCGCAAAAAGTTGCAGGTTATTTGTGTTTATTTTAGGTTTCTCTTCAAACCCAGGTGTGATAACATTATTTAACCTTTTTGTTTTCTGAATGCAGGGTTCTCATTCCGAAGTGTTGGAGCAGGTTATACTAAAGCAGCGCAATGACATGCACAAGGTAGGTAAAGATTAAAGGTTCTACAATTCCTGTAGAACATGTATATCTCATTTAAGAATGAGCATCCTTTTGTGGATACTGCATACAACCATCTTTTTTTACTTAACTCAAAGTTTCGTGGATTCTTTTCATGTAGTCTGAACTTGAGCGTGATCGACTAGCAATGGAACTTGACGAAGAAAGGAGGTTAAGGGAAACACTAGAGCACCGTTTGGCTGAGCAACAAAAAATGTTAGATGGCATTAGCAATACCAGCATATCACCAGATCAGTTCACTGATTCTATCCAGGTATGTTTATTGGAGAAGTAGCATCATAACAACTTCAATCAGATTCACTAAGTGCAATCTCATGCCATGTGTTGGCTCTACTATTCAAAGCTTCTGCTCTATTTTTCACTTTTTGTTTCTGATCCTTCATTATTGGCCTGTCGCAGTTCGAATCATTAAAAACTCCAACTTCTAAAGAGAGACCAGCTGAGTTTGTTGCAAGTCGTGCGAACTATTCAAAGGATGTAGAATTCAGCCCAATACCAGAAAATTTAGGGACTGTAGCTGATGAGGACCTCTGGATGCAGCTGAACAAGGGGTGTGTTACTGATCTCGAAATGCTTGAGATGACACCTGGTTTCAAATGTGCGCCATCCCTGGCAGATGATAAAGCATCAGTAAGTAACATTACCGGTCCTTGTCTTTCTCTGCTGATTCTGCTGACTTTTCATCCACAACAAAATTGGGTTTTATGCAGCAAACTACTAGTAGTTAATATGGAAATGATAATAGAAATAGATAAATCAGAGATAGTTAATTCATCCGATATGCATAGTTTCTACAGACTTTTGGCACTAAGTTCCCCTGAAAAGACATTGGCTATTTGCTGCATAAATAGTAACAAGTACTTGCAAAATTTGAGTCCTAGATTGCCTTTTGAATCAAATCCAAAGGTGCGTGTTGTCTCGAGAATAACCATTGCTTGTTGAGCATTCAGTGCTCAGCAATTCAGCATCCTCTCTAAGTGGCAACATTTCAAAATTTCAATCTTGACACAAATGCCAGATTTCCAGATATAGTGAAATATGTGACATTTTCCATCAATAGTTTCGAGAGCTAAGGTCAGGACAAAGTAGAAAGTAGACTCTCTTTTCCGAGTGTCCAAAAAGACAACGAAACAGGGATCCTCATTGCTCGGCTTCTAGTTAAAATCTGTCATCTCATGATAAATTGATAATCATACATTTTTAGCTCCTATAATCTGTCCGGTACTCATCAACTCCTGTTAAAAGTTTTCGTCAATCCCCATGTTCATCTATCGAGCTGTCGAAAGCATCGTTACGGAACATGCTGCCAATGAGAACTGACTCCCTACTTTTTACCACTGCTGCCAATCCTTTGTCTTCTCCCACAGGTTGCAACTCCAGACGAGGAACCAATCGACGCAAGATGCCAAAGGCTAGAGAAGGACTGCACCGCCGATAGGCAGCAGCTGGAGGATTCAAAGGCGTGGCGCGCGGCGCTCGAGGAGGAGCGCGACACGCTGAAGAGAGAAAACTCGTCCTTACTGGATGCGCTCGCCAAGGCGAGGCAGGACGCCGACCATCTCGTCGCCGACAGGCTGGAGGCGCTCAGGGAGCTGGACATGGAGAAGAGCAGGATGGATGAGCTCAAGCAGGAGATCAAGCTCTTCAGCCAGGCCTTCTCGCTGAGGCAGGGGCAGCTCACCTCCCTGTACACCAAGTCCAAGGCCATTGTGGAGAACTGCAAGACGTCCCAGTTGGCCTTGCCCTGATGTTTCTTCCTCTTCTTCTTCAGCAGCAACTGCAGAGAAGCGTGTTACGCATTCGATCCATCTGCAACCAATTCTTAAATTGCAGATTGTGTAGTGTATTTGTTTGCTGTACGTGTGTGCTGGATTAGATTGCGTGGTATTACGAGCCGTGTGCAAAGCTCCTGTGAAGTAGTAGTGTATACCGAAAAAAAAAACATTGCTATTGTTTGTGATTTGGAGGACATCAGCTATGCGTTTTGGTTAGCGTTCTGGAAGTGTCAAGCTGTATTTGACCAGTGGAAACGCCGTGTTTGTTTTAGCGGCACAAACCAGAATCAGATTGCCATCAATGTACCATAACATTTCATACCAGAATCCGATCAGTCTTGAAATTTTTATTGTTGGCAGCTTCGTTGTCCCAAAATGCGTTGATAATCCGTAAACAGCTATAGTACACTTCCACCAATGCTCTTTGTCACAGATCAACAGTCAATTGCATTCTGATGAAGACTGTCACATCGGACCAAAGCAACTACTATCCATGAACATGAATTATCAATTTGTCCGTGAACAATGCCAGGGAATACCAAATTACGAATCCCTGTTTGACTCGAATTCAATTCACATCCATCCATGAACCATATGGCCTGCACGTTGGCACGTATAATCTGACAGGCACAATCACCTACTGCTACGACACACGAAGCCATTGTAGATACACAAGCAAACAGTTTGGCCCCAAAAAAAACCGGATCGTCTCTGTCTGCAGCAGCAAGAGCAAGCGAACAACGGGGAGAGTCCGAATTCGCAGCAGCAAAGATTTCTGTACCCTTTTCTGCAGGCGACAAAATCAGCAAACCCAATCACCGGCAGATTCCACTGTCAGGCACTAATCAGCACATCACACGGTCACACTCACACACACACACACACACTTAATTAATCACCCTGATTAGCTGTCTGATCAAGCCCCTTGATTAGGGGCAATTGTGTTTCTGCCCTTGCTTTACGATTCAATTGTGATTTTACCCCTACTTTTTAGGGTTTGTGATTTTGCCCTTGTTTTTCTGAAATAAAGCAGCCGTCTAGCCCTGGTTTTGACAGAAGTTTGGTGGGTCCGGAATTTCAGATTTAAACGAAGATAGAAAATGTTATTATCATTTTTGAATGACCATTCTACCCTTACCCTTGGTTCAATGAAAGAACCAAATCCCCAATCCCTATCCCGATTTCCACTCCAAAACCCGGCGGTGGCGGCGGCTACGCGCGGCCAGCGCGCGGCAGGGAGGAGCGGCGGCGGGGCCAGCTGCCACGGAACAGCGCGCGGCGGAGTCGGGCGCGGGCAGGGAGGCGCTGCGGCGGCGGCGTCGCGCGCGCATGGAGGCGCGGCGCGGCGGCCGGTGGCCCCGCGGTCAGCGCGCGGCGGAGAGGAGCGGCGGCTCCGTCGGCCAGCAAGCGAGCGAGCAGCGAGCAGGTAGCTTGGCGGCGGGATGGCGCTGTTAAAGGATGTAGGCAGGTACGGCGACGACCTCGGGCTGGAGCGCAGGCTAGGGACGCAGGGAGGCACGACTTGCTGCCGGCGGGCTGGCGCTCCTAACCTCTTGCCGGCGCAGGGACGGAGGCCTAGCGCTATTGAAAATACAGGATTAAGAGACATAATGGAGTAAATCTTGTGCATGGTGGAAATCTGCTGCAAATCCCCTGTTTTCTTTCCCATTTTCCTGTCTTGTATCTGCGAGAGATTTGTTTGGTGAATGGTGATTTCTTCCTGTGATGAATCTTGTTGGTGAATTTTTGCACCCGATGCAAGTTCTTTGAAAATGCTGCAGAAATGATGTTAAATTCTTCCAAAATTTGTCAAAGTTTGGTCAAATTCGAAATATATACGCATTATATCAAGAAAGGAGAGGCAAATGTGTAAGGGTATACAAGTCCTTCTACTGCTAAGTTGACGCTGTTAAGTGATGCTAACAGAATAGGGGCAAAACAGAGCTTCGTTTGAAAAAAGTGAGGGCAAAATCACAAACCCTAAAAAGTTAGGGTAAAATCACAATTGCAACTCAAAGTGAGGACAAGAATACAATTGCCCCAATTGATTAATAAGGCTAAGATACAAGAGTTTCTCTTGTACATGTGTACATTTTGTGACTCGGATGATGATGGCTTCACATGTGATTAAGGACAAGTGTCACCTTCTTGAGAGTTGCAGATACCTTAAACACACACATTTGATGATGAGGTGTTTGTATTAGTGTGTATCTTGTGGGATAAATAAAGATCAGGGCATTTGGATGAAGGTGACATGAAGCCTCCTTGGGAGACCAGGGCATTTAAGAAACCAATTGGTGATGTGCTGCTGCTGCAGAAGCAGCCAAAAGGAGTGCTTGTGAGATGGCAATGGGGGTATCCAAGGTGAAGCTTGTCTAGTTGTTTTAGGATCATCAGATGAGTTAACCTTGCTTTTCCTGGTAATTGGATGTTTCAGGATTAGGTTGTGGTTTCATCAGACAATCAGACATGCCAGCTTGACATGAAGGTGTGATTATTTTGCAGTGCTTAGGATACAAGGTGCATCGAGTCAAACTGTGCTGATTCCCTAAAATGATATAAGCCACAGCCAAATTTGAATTTCAGAATTTAATTTGAGTGTTTTTTTTCTCATATCAGTTTTTAGCCTTGTCTTTTGAACCGCAATTATTTTTACAAGCAAAATGTTTTCATAAGACATTTGCCATTTTGCCATTATTTTTAAAAGAAATGTCTTCATTTTTTTCCATTTTTTTTGGCCTTATACCAATGCTTCTAAGCTACACCATCCATCCCAAAATAAGTTCATTTCTAGGTTTTGACGGTCTGTCTTATTTATTTTTTTAATTAGTATTTTAATTGTTATTAGATGATAAAACATAAATAGTATTTTATGCATGACTTATTTTATTTAGATTTTTTTTATAAATTTTTAAAATAAGACGGATGATCAAACGTTCAACCAAAAACTCCTAAATGAATTTATTTTGGGATGGAGGGTGTACTATATATTTTGCTATATATAGTACCCTTCTACGCATTTACCATCGCCTTATCCAATTCCAATCAGGCCGTTGTTTTTAAAATTATGCTGGTAGATTTGTCCGAGACCATTTGGAAATTACTGTGAACTTGTAATATTCGAGATGTACATGGCAATGAGCTGTCAAAAAATACACCTCGGAAGCACTGCCACATCACTATTCCTCTTGAGTGAAAGGAGTAACACACTAACAACCACTGGTCTCTGGAGTCAGAGGATCATTAGTTCTCTGATACTAGTATGCTGGTGGTAAAGGGCAAGGGGCTTCAAATACAAACTTGTACTCCTACTAGGAACCAGAATTCAAACCAAAACCACTGCAGCTAGCTCCAGCATTCAATTCAAAGTACTGTACACACTCTGATCACCACCTCACCACAGTCCACTCTCACTCTCACTCTCACCACAGCTCAACAAAGCCAAGAGCCAGCCAGCCATTCCCCAGCTTTTCACCTGGGTGATTTGACCTAACAATTAGACATTCTCCATCACTTTCCAACCCCAAATCACACACACACTGAAATTGAGGTCAGCCATGCATGCAGCACCCAAACACCATCATTAGTACTACTAAAATACTGAGTACTCTTCCCATGTAAATATTTTTGAACTCTAATACTGTATCTGAAATACTATTTTAACTAACAATATATATAAAAGTAAGACATTTTAAATAAAAAGAGTTACATATCATAATAGCTTGTTTAATGATAAATCTAGTAACATCAATTTTATATAATTGATTATTTTAATTTCTTTTGCTATTAATAGTCAAAGTTGAAAATGTATGACTTGTCACTATAAAAATGCTTATATTTTGGGACGGATGGAGTACAATTGTAAGTACTACTATGTCCTAATTGTACAATTAATTAAATTAAGTACAGTCCTATGTCCTATGTGGCACAAAAAAAACAATTAATTTAATTAAATTGAGGTCAGCCATGCATGCAGCACCCAAACACAACATCATTAGTAAAACATGAGTAGTAGTAGTAGATTATTTCCCCTAATGCTACAATAATTAATCAATTAATTAAATTAAATTAAGTGGAGTACACACCTATGTATGTCCTATGTGGCAAAGACAAAGCAAGCAAAGGCCAAAGATTGTCTGAAGACAAGAGGGGTGGAGAGAAGAGAGAAGAGCAAGAGAGGACATAATAGCATGAATTATGCAGCAAATGGTTAGAGAGAGGGGGGCTACAAGAATCTCTCCCTCAACCTCCATGTCTTCTTCCATTCATTGCACCATTCCTTGTCTCTTCTCCACATCTCCCTTTCCTTGGTTGGTTGCCTCCACTATTCCTCTCTCTCTCTAAACTCTCTCTCTCTCTCTAAGATTCTCTTGCACTTTCTCATCTCCATTATAAGCTCCCCACCCTACACCATCCTCCAACCCCCCCATCTCCTCTTGCAAACACACACACATTCATCTCTCCCTTTTTTACCACTTTCTTGAACGACTCGCACGAGAAGGTACGAAGTTCTATCTCTCTCTAGAATTCTATAGGTTTTCTTGGAGTGGGCAATGGCGAGCTTGTCGGCGTCGCCGTCGGGGAGGCGGCTGTCGGAGCTGCTGGAGGAGAAGCAGGAGCCGTTCTACCTCGACCTTCACCTGCTGGAGAAGGGGTGCTCGCCGCGGCTGCTCGACGGCTACGACACCGCCGCCGCCGCCGCGGTCATGTGCTGGCCGGCGGCGGCGGCGGCCGGCGGCGGCAACGACGCCGCCGCGTCCGTGCTCAGGCGGCTCACCACCACCACCACCAAGAAGAAGAAGGAGGCGGCGGCGAGGGGCGCGGGCAAGAAGACGACGAAGAAGCCTGCGGCGGCGGCGGCGGCGGCCACCGGGCTCCTCCGCGTCCTCCTCTCCAAGATCCTCCACGTCAAGGCGGCGAGCAACCGGAAGCCGGCGGCGCTTCAGTCGTCGGAGTCGTTCAGCTTCAAGAAGGTCGCCGCCGCCGCCGCCGCGCCGTCTCCGTGCTCGACCAAGCACCACCCGCTCGACGCCGCCGCCGCCGCCGACGAGAAGGAGGAGGAGATAGAGTACACCGACTCGGAGTCCGACGACGAGAAGCAGTTCAGCCCGGTGTCCGTGCTGGACCACCCGTTCGACTTCGAGAGCTCACCCATCCACAAGCGCTCGCCGTCGCGGGTGGCGCAGCCGCAGGGCTCGCCGAAGAACGCCATGGCGTTCGTCCGCGACCTCCTCGAGGCGGCGTACTCGCCGGCGCTGCTCACCCACCTCCTCTCCAAGACCGACGACCTCATCAACGCCACGGCCGACGCCGCCGCCGCCGCCGCCTCCGACGACGACGACGACGACGACTGCTGCTA